AATACCACACAGGATCATAAACTGTCATGTAATTTTGTGTCTGGAAAAGGATGGTCAGGAATAATAATGAAGACATCTAGTGTACCGAAGTTTTGGTAGGGTTTAGAGAGGCAGGAGGGGTACAGGGGGGTTTTCTTAGCTGGGGAAAAGGGAGAAGAAATTACCCTCTCTCTTTCCTTCTCATCATGCCATTTTTCTTCTGCACCATAACTCTGCCCACCTTTCTAAATAAAAAGTAAAGCAGAATAAAATCAAAGGTGAGCTGAGAGAGAAAGGTATCTAGAGTTGTGTCCCCTTTGCTGTTTTCTGCTCACTGCTTCTGATTTTACCTTTGCTTTGCAGGCAAAAAAAAAAAAAATTAAATCTATTTTGATACAAGTTTATTTCTCCTGCCTCTGCCTTGGTCTATACGATCCCCTTTTACTGGGTTCTCTGACCTTATATTTTATGCTATTCTTATATTCCCCTTTCTTTGTACCTTTTCTCCCAGCCTACTCACCTTTTTTCTTCCTTATTTCTCATCCTATGCCTCCCTCCCTCCCATTTAATCAATGGACACAATAATACCAGGGTACAAAATATATTGGAATGACTGAACAGGTCGTGCTTGTGCAAGAGTGGCACTATATGTGAAAGAAGGCGTAGAATCAAATGAAGTAAAAATCTTAAATGAACCAAACTGTACCATAGAATCTTTGTGCATAGTAATTCTATGCTCGAATAATAAGAATATAGCAGTAGGGATATATTACCGACCACCTGACCAGGATGGTGATAGTGACTGTGAAATGCTCAGGAAGATTAGAGAGGCTATTAAAATAAAAAAACCTCAATAATAAAGGGGGATTTCAACTATCCCCATATTGACTGGGTACATGTCACCTCAGGACGGGGTGCAAAGATAAAGTTTCTTGACACCTTAAATGAGAGCTTCTTGGAGCAGCTAGTCCTGGAACCCACAAGAGGAGAGGCAATTTTTGATTTAGTCCTAAGTGGACCACAGGATTTGGTCCAAGAGGTGAATATAGCTGGGCTGTTTGGGAATAGTGACCATAATATAATTAAATTTAACATCCCTGTGGTGGGGAAAACACAACAGCAGCCCAACACGGTATCATTTAATTTCAAAAAGAGGGACTACACAAAAATGGGGAAGTTAGTGAAACAGAAATTAAAAAGTACAGCGCCAAAAGTGAAATCCCTGCAATCTGCATGGAAACTTTTTAAAGATATCATAATTGAGGCTCACCTTAAACGTATACTCCAAATTAAAAAACATAGTAGGAGAACCAAAAAAGTGCCACCGTGACTAAACAACAAAGTAAAAGAAGCAGTGAAAGGCAAAAAGGCATCCTTTAAAAAGTGCAAGTTAAATCCTAGTGAGGAAAACAGAAAGGAGCATAAATTCTGGCAAATGAAGTGTAAAAATATAATTAGGAAGGCCAAAAAAGAATTTGAAGAACAGCTAGCCAAAGCCTCAAAAAGTAATAGCAATGGTTTTTTTAAGTACAACAACCAGTGGAGCCACTGGACAACCGAGATACTAAAGGAGCACTCAAGGCTGATAAAGCCCATTGTGGAGAAACTAAATGAATTCTTTGTATTCAGGGCTGATTCCCCACTCCGGCACTTGGAGTAAAGAAGGTGCGGGCCCGCAAGGATTTTAAAAATTCATATGGGCCACTCCAGGCTGGTATTAAACTTCCAAGGTCACAGCTTTTCTCTGACCTTGGATGGCTAGACGCTGCCACCACCCAAGTGCAAACCACCCCCCACCCCACTCTTTTTGAGAACCCAGGAAGGAACACTTGGAAATTCCTTCCTGTGGGGTGCCCTCAAGCCCTTTCACATACACCCCACCCTGGGAAGAGCTCAGAAAAAAACAAAGGAAATAAGCTGTTGCCACCAGCTAATTAAACAACATGCACAAACCTCTTAGGGACACAAAAATTCAATCCTGTTTTTAAAAAACGTAAATTTTATTAAAAACAAAAAGAAAGGAAATACATTTGGAACTTAGGCTTTTTGCTAGATTTTAAAAGAAACAATTACAAAAATTAAGCATCAAGATAGCTCTTTTGAGGTTTAGCTTAAAGATTACAAGCAAAAGATCTATCTGGCTTTAAGATTAAACTCGATAAGTTTATGGAGGACATAGTATGATGGGATAACATGGTTTTGGTAATTAAATATTCATGGTAAATAGGCCCAATGGCCTGTGATGGGATATTAGATGGGGTGGGATCTGAGTTACCCAGGAAAGAATTTTCTGTAGTATCTGGCTGATGAATCTTGCCCATATGCTCAGGGTTTAGCTGATTGCCATATTTGGGGTCGGGAAGGAATTTTCCTCCAGGGCAGATTGGAAGAGGCCCTGGAGGTTTTTCGCCTCCCTCTGTAGCATGGGGCACAGGTCACTTGCTGGAAGATTCTCTGCTCCTTGAAGTCTTTAAACCACAATTTGAGAACTTCAATAGCTCAGACATAGGTGAGAGGTTTTTCGCAGGAGTGGGTGGGTGAAATTCTGTGGCCTGCGTTGTGCAGGAGGTCAGACTAGATGATCATAATGGTCCCTTCTGACCTTAAATCTACGAAACTATAAAAGAGAAGCATTTGGGTTTAGCACAAAGGAGTTCACAAGCCAATAAGAAAGAAAAGACATAACCCTCATAGTGTTTATTTTAGACATTCCTTGATCTGGGGTTTTACATAAGTAGGTTTGAGGTATGAATTGATGTTTTTCATACCTGGTTTTAAAGCTGCTTACAGCATTGCTACTCTGTGTCTCCGCTCTCTGGAGAGCGACACAAAGGGAAAGCTTTTTTCCCCAATTTTAAAAAGTTCTAGCCCTCCCATTGGCTCTTTTGGTCAGGTGCCCACTCCCTTTCCTTTACCTGGGGGACTTTCTTATCCCTTTACAGGTTAAGCAAGCAGAGAACAACCACCAAGAGGGACTTTATAGCTAACGGGCTGGCTGGGTGTCCATAAAAGGGAGCTACCTGCCACTCCCTTCATTTATCACAGCATCAATCTTCACGGCTGAGGATGTGAGGGAGATTCCCAAACCTGAGCCATTCTTTTTAGGTGACAAATCTGAGGAACTGTCCCAAATTGAGGTGTCATTAGAGGAGGTTTTGGAACCAATTGATAAACTAAAGAGTAATGTCACCAGGACCAGATGGTATTCACCCAAGAGTTCTGAAGAACTCAAATGTGAAATTGCAGGACTACTAATGGTAGTCTGTAACCTATCATTTAAATCAGCTCCAGTACCAAATGACTGGAGGATAGGCAATGTGATGCCAATTTTTAAAAACGGCTCCAGAGGTGATCCCGGCAATAACAGGTCGGTAAGCCTGACTTCAGTTCTGGGCAAACTGCTTGAAACTATAGTAAAGAACAACACTGTCAGACACATAGATGAACATAATTTGTTGGGGAACAATCCCTCATCAAAGGCTCTTAAGCAAAGTAAGCTGTAATGGGATAAGAGGGAAGGTGCTCTCATGGATCTGTAACTGGTTAAACGATAGGAAACAAAGGGTAGGAATAAATGGTCAGTTTGCAGAGAGAGGTAAATAGTGGTCCTCCATATTCATACATGATCTGGAAAACAGGGTAAACGGTGAGATGCCAAAATTTGCAGATGATACAAAACTACTCAAGATAGTTAAGTCCAAAGCAGACTGCAAAGAGCTACAAAAGGATCTCTCAAAACTGGGTGACTGGGCAACAAAATGGCAGATGAAATTCAATATTGATAAATGCAAAGTAATGCACATTGGAAAACATAATCCCAACTATACATATAAAATGATGGGTTCTAAATTAGCTGTTACCACTCAAGAGAGATCTTGGCGTCATTGTGGATAGTTCTCCAAAAACATCAACTCAGTGTTCTGCAGCAGTCAAAAAAGCGAACAGAATGTTGGGAATCATTAAGAAAGGGATAGATAATAAGAGAGAAAATATAATTTTGCCTCTATATAAATCCATGTTATGTCCACATCTTGAATACTGTGTGCAGATATGGTCGCCCCCATCTAAAAAAAGATATATTGGCATTGGAAAAGGTTCCAAAAAGGGCAATATAAATGATTAGGGGTATGGAACGGCTTCCATATGAGAGATTAAAAAAACTGGGACTTTTCAGCTTGGAAAAGAGACGACTAAGGGGGGATATGATTGAGGTCTATAAAGTCATGACTGGTATGGAGAAAGTAAATAAGAAAGATTTATTTTCTTCTCACAAACACAACTAGGGGTCACCAAATGAAATGAATAGACAACAGGTTTAAAACAAACAAAAGGAAGTATTTCTTCAATCAATGCACAGTCAAGCTGTGGAACTCCTTGCCAGACGATGTTGTGAAGGCCAGGACTATAACAGGATTCAAAAAAGAACTAGACAAATTCATGGAGGACAAGTCCATCAATGGCTACTAGCCAGGATGGGCGGTGACGGTGTCCCCAGCCTCTGTTTGTCAGAAGCTGGGAACAGGTGACAGGGGATGGATCACTTGGTGATTACCTGTTCTGTTCTTTCCCTGGGGCACCGGGACCTGGCCACTGTCAGAAGACAGGATACTGGGCTAGATGGACCCTTGATCTGACTAGTATGGCCGCTCTTATGTTCTCCTTCTTTCTGCCACACTCACCCATTCTCTAAATTTACTAGCAGTCTTTTGTATTTTTCTCCCTCACACCACATTGTGCTTTTCTCAACCTGATGTTCCGCTGTGGGGGAGGGGAGAAGCAGTCGCACAGCCACCAGCCCACCCTTTCCTCCCCTGTGCAGCTCCCTCTGATGCCTAAGAAGAAGGACCCGCCTTGAACTGTGTCTGGCCCCTCTGGCTGTCCGTAGCTGGGGCTGTTCTTTACTCGTCGGGGGAGGTGGGGCTCGCCAATCACCGCGGGGGGTCGGGACGCTTAGAGGCTGCTGGGATCTGAGTAGCCATGGCGACGGTGGGGCGCTGTGGCGCCGCTGCGCTGCTCCTGGCGCTCAGCGTGCGGCTCTCGGCTGGGCAGACTTTCTCCCTGCCTCTGCGCCAGCCGCAGGACTGCGGCCATGCCCGTTACTTCGATATCTCCAGCCTGGCGTGCGGCCAGTGCGGGCCCCACCAGGGGCGGAGCGCCAGGGGTGAGAGCGAGCGAGGGGCCCAGGCGGGGGAGTCCTGTCTCCCAGCAGGCGGGGCAGGGTGTGTAAGAGGCCTAGCCTGCCCCCCGCCGCCTAGGCATTGGGGGTGGGTGAACCCCCATCTCTTGGGGGGAGCTGTTCTTGGAGGCGCAGCTCCGTCGCGGGGTGGCAGAGCCTGGGCTGAGGGGGCTGCGTTCCCGAAGTACCCGTTAAAGCCGTGTTTGTGGTGGTCCCGGGGAGCTGAGCGGCGCGTCACGCTAAGCGGGGGCAGGTGGGGGTTTGTTCATCGTTTTGGCTCTTACGACACTGAAGCGTTTGTTTTAATTCATCTTTTGCATGGCAGAAATCGGGATGCTCATTCTTTGCACGTGAACTATTTGCGAAGTGGTGGCAAGTCTCCAGTGATCACCCATGGATAGTGGGGTAGTGATGCTTCTAGAGGAAAGTGGTGATCTAGGGAATTTTGTCCTAAGACTTTTTGTTTTTCACAGTAGCATAGGTGGGTTGAATTTACAGTACATTCACCATCCTGGGGCAGTAACTTTACCTTGTGGGAACGTTGCAAGACAAGTTTCTCATTTCTGCGGTGTTCAGTTTGTTTGTGGTTTTGGGTTTGTTTTTAAGAATAGGAGTAAACCTGAAATGCAGGTCTTATTTTTATTGTCTAGTTCTACCACAATAATACTGCTGAGGAAGAAATTCAGTTTCCTCCAAATGTGTGAATCTTGGACAGATATGAAGCAGAGAAAGAGGAAGGTTTAAAAAAATACATCATTTTGACTAGCTGAATGTAATTCCGATGTGATCAGCTTTTTCATTTCGTGTAACAATTGTCCCAAGCGACAAGCCTAGAAATGAGAAAACAAAGTTTTAGTCTTTTTCCTTTTTGTGTTAAATATGCGTAAATGTGGTGCTCATTAACTGAAGAGTTGATAGTATTAATCAAGGTTCTTACCACAATAGGTGGCTGACATACAATGATGTTTATAAGTATTTCTGGGTCTTTGACACTTGTAAATTTCTGCAAACATTTACTTGATCAGATAGGTCCAGTCCTGTAGAACCTCAAAGATACAAATACCAGAGTTACTGACTGAAGGGTCACAGGTGCCTGTATCTTAAAGGTAGGCACATCTGGGCTGCCTGTCCCCCACAACTGGGCAGCCACTTATAGCTGTGGTGAATGCTGTTTTCCCCTCTGCCTCTCCCCTGGCTGGGAGGGGGACAAGCTTTCAAGCTCGGAGCTTGGGAAAGAAACTTCTAGAACTGCTATTGAAACCTGACCTGGAGTGTAAGCTGCTGGAGCCTGAGCTCTGGAGGAGCAGCTCAGTTTTAAAGGACCACAGTCTGCACCGCTCAGTGGTTTGAGCATTGGCCTGCTAAAGCCAGGGTTGTGAGCTCAATCCTTGAGCGGGCCATTTAGGGATCTGGGGCAAAAATTGGGAATAGGTCCTGCTTCAAGCAGGGGGTTGGACTAGATGACCTCCTGAGGTCCCTTCCAACCCTAACCTTCTATGATTAACCACGCACTGACACTGCGGTGCCTCAGGGTGCCTCACTCATCACCCTTGCAGCTGGGGCCATCCTCACTTACCGCCCAGCCACTGCAGAGCTGTGAGCCCCTGCTCCGAGTAGTCCGCTCTGAGGAGCGTCCAATAAAGCAGGGGTGGCCAACCTGAGCCCAAGAAGGAGCCAGAATTTACCAGTGTACATTGCCAAAGAGCCACAGTAATACATCAGCAGCCCACCATCAGCTCCCTGCCCCTGCTCCCAGAGCCTCCTGCCCACCAGCAGCGTTGCCATTCAGCACCTCCCCCTCCTTCCCCGCACCTCCTGATCAGCTGTTTCGTGGCGTGCAGGAGGCTCTAGGGAGAAGCGGGGGAGCGAGGGCATAGCAGGTTTAGGGGAGGGGGTGGGAAACGGGGCGGGCAGGGCCTGTGGCAGAGCCAGGGGTTGAACGGTGAGCACCCCCCGGCACACTGGAAAGTTGGCGCCTGTAGCTCCAGCCCCAGAATCGGTGCCTATACAAGGAGCCGCATGTTAACTTCTGAAGAGCTGCCATGTGGCTCTGGAGCCACAGGTTGGCCATCCCTGCAATAAAGGCTTGTTCAGAATTACAAACGTTTGAGTTACGAACAACCTCCATTCCTGAGGTGTTCGTAACTGTGAGGTTCTGCTGTAGTTCATTTCAGGTTATTCAACAAGTTCAGTGCAATAAGTAGTTCAAAGTTATGAAACAGATTGGGACCTGAAAAAGCAGGAAAACTTACTTTCCTCTTTGAATCTATATATAAAAACTAGGGGTGAGAAAGGCAAGATCTACTACAGTAGTACCTCAGAGTTATGAACACCAGAGTTACAAACTGACCAGTGAACCACGTCTCATTTGGAACTGGAAGTATGCAATCAGACATCAGGAGAGAGAGAGAAGCAAATACAGTGCAGTATTGTGTTAAATGTAAACTACTAAAATAAAAGCAATATTTTTCTTCTACATAGTAAAGTTTCAAAACTGTATTAAGTCAATGTTCAGTTGTAAACTTCTGAAAGGAGAATCGTAACACTTTCTTCAGAGTTAAGAACACTTCAGAGTTACGAACAACCTCCATTCCTGAGGTGTTTGTTACTCTGAGGTTATACTGTTTTATGTGATCTCTCCAGAGCTGAGAGCATTTAGAATAGGTTCTGTTTTGAAATGTATATACATAAAAAAATTCAAAACATGCTGTTGTTACATGAGTATTGTATATTCATGTGAAGAAGGGAATAATGGATCAGAAAAGTTCTGAGAATTTTTTTTAAATGACCTTGCCAAATTGATTATTGACATAGTTCAATATTTTACATGTTTAATTTTATATCCGCTTTTGTTTTGTAATAGAAATAGCAATAAATGTAAACAACAATTGGTGGCCCTGTTCCTATGTGGCATGGTGTGCCCTCAGCTTTCACAGCTGAAATCAGTGGAAGTTGCGAGCACTACACACTTCGCAGGATCAAGCCCATTGAATAGTATTTGCAGTATTTGAAGATAGGTTATTTTACTATTCATGTTTGAATAAAGGAAAAAATATATTTTAAAAGTACTGAATTTAAAATAGCTTACAAAATAACTTTGAAGCTCTTTGCACACAAAGAAGACAGTTGTTTTCCAGGTCATCTTTAATCTTTCAGAGTAATTCTACTTTTGAAGGGTAAAAACTGAACTCTGACATGAACATTCTAAAAGAAGTGGAGTGTTTTTACTGCAGTTCTTATTCAAACATTGTAGTTTAAGTAGGAAATTGCGAGTCTTCATTTAAGAGCTGTAGCAATTGCTCGACAATAGAGTTGGGGTTTATTTGTATAAATTGGGGTGAAAATAAAACTATTTACTTTTTAGGTATTTCATGTGTATGTCTACCAGGATTCAAGATGGTTTCTAATAATGGTGGGCCTTCTGTTGTTTGTGAAAAATGCCCAGAGAATATGGTAGGTATTAAGCTTTACATATTGTGATATGATGATACATTTTTGTAGTTTTACAGGTCTTCTATAAGTTTTATTTTTTTAATAAAATTTATTACAAAATTTCTTACTTAATTTTGTTCGGAAAATTTTAACTTAATGTTTTAATAGCAGTATTTTTATTTAGAACTATTCAAAATTTTGTGTTCAGATATTGGTAAGAGTGCCATATTTATGAAACTTGTGATTCATCTTACAACAGTTTTTAGCTGTCTATGACAAACATGGGGAGCTTCCTTTGAATGTAAGATGAGAAAAATGTTTTTAATTTTTGTGGGAAAATTTGACTTTTGTAATGTTTAAAGGCTGTAGTTTTTATGTTTGTAAAAGTGAGTCATTGCCAAGAAAATTTCAGTGAGGCTAGAATAAGGATACTGAAATAAACAGTAGTAACCAATGTAAATAAGGTGATAGGCAAGCGTAAACCTGCCTTGAATAACTTTTTGGTTTGCTCATTCTCTCATACAACCAAATACTTTTCTAACCAAACAAGTTGTAGAACACACAGGTTGCTTAAAAGCTGACCAATTTAAGCATGATTTAAGAAAAAATAATGTATAAAAATGTCATGAGTGAGCAAACAACTTAAGGGTATTCTAAATTTTGGTTTAATCTCTTATCAGTCCTTGCTTTCTTTATGGCTATGTCTACACTGCACTTTCATCTGTAAAACTTTTGTCGGTCAGGGGTTTGAAAAAAACCACACCCCTGAACGACACAAGTTTTACAGTCAAAAAGCAGTAGCATGGACAGCGCAAGATGCTCTGCTGACAACAAAGCTACTGTCCCTCATTGGGGGTGGCTTTATTTTTTTGGCAGAAGAGCAGCTACGCTGTGTACCTTACAGCGGCAGGGCTGTAGGAGCACAGCTGTGCCCTTGTATGGTGCGCAGTGTAGACGTAGCCTAAGTGACTGATGGCTGTGTCTCTGCACGAAGACCACCCCTTCATGAAATCCCTAGGCTCAGTTGTTGGGTTTTTTGCTTCTTGTCTATTTTTGGCATTTGTATAGCTTAGACTACCATAATGCCTAGACTGTGGCCTTCCAGCTTTGGTCATCTTATCTCTACCTTTAACACAAGCAGCGACTTTTACATTGATCTTCAAAGATATGTATCTTATTAACTTTTGACTGTTACCTAGTAAATTCTTATTGCCTATCTAGACTAAGTAAACTTGTGACTTCATGTCAGCTTCTTTAATCTCACTGTTTTAAAGACAGAGGTGTTTCTTGTCGCTCTAGCAAACCTCCTCGGGCATAGCTCCATTTCTGTCTTCCTTCTTTATTGTAACTAAGGCTTACTATATCCTTCTGTTGCAGGGTGGATTAAATTTAAATTGATTTAAATCACTAGTCAGGAAGACTCGGTTTAATCATGGATTTCTACATAAAAGTGCATTCTTGTTGGTTGTTCTAACCTTAATACATATTCTTCACAACTCGGAGATAGATGTAGGTTTCATTTTTAGAAGATACACACTATACATTTTTAAAGCTATTTATTTTTAAAACTTTTCAGATTAGTTTTACAGGTATATCAGAAAATGAATGATAGTTTGGCTTTTTCATTTACCAAAGGTAATTGAAGCAGATATTTATGAAGTCACTGGGAAGTGAACGAGCTTCAATCCAACAGGTTAATCATTAATATTTGGAGGATTTTCTTGCCATGCTGTATTAGGAGGAGAACATCATCAGACACACAAATTGTTTTATTTAACTAAATTTTAAATTTAATTTAAATAAAGTTATGTATTCTGGATTTTTTCTTCAACAGCAAACATAATATTTTAACAAAACAAGCATATGAATTTAGTTTAACATTCAAGTGTTTTAAAATCAGGGTTGTTTAAATTGTATTTAACTAAAATAGTTAATTTTTTTTTTAAAGCAAGAATTAATTTGATTGTCAGCCAGGTCAACATGAGAAACTTAAAATATTGGCTTCTGCAGCTAACTCGGTCATCTTCACCTTCATTTTCCTCTTTGTTCATAATCTGGAAAAGAAAAACAAGCTTTCCTGCTTTTTCAGGTCCCAAACGATTTCTCAATTTGGAATGAATTAGTCCAAAGGAAGAAAATATTCTTTCTACAACGGGAGAAGAAGCTACTGCTGTTAAAGTGAGGATTATCACTTCAACAGTCTCCGAATCCAAGTGCTTAAGTGACTTCCACCAGTTCACTGGTGCGATTTTCTTTAAAACATCAGTCAACATATATTTCTTGAATGGTTCACCTTTTGCTCTGAAGTTTATTATAGTTGGCATTATAGAGGGATGATTCCTGGATGTCCATGTCATAACTAACTCCTCTTCAGCAGTTAAGGTTTGACCCTGGTACCGAGTATTGAGAATATTTGCAAGAAAATGAGCTGGAGATAGTGCTTGTCCCATTTGTTTTTTTTAAATGCTTGTAATTTAACTCCTGTCATTGCATATTTCTCTTTTTAAGATCTCCCTCAGTTCCTTCCTAATTTCAACAGCATCAGCAATAAAACAGCTATTTCCCTGCATTTTGTTCAAGGCTACAGAAATAGGCTTCAGGGTACTCCACATTCATTCAACATTTCTCTTAAGCCCAATGTTGAGAACTTTGGCTGACAGTGTCATCTATTTTTTTCATGATTTTCTTCACAAACTGTCATCAGATTAGGCCAGTTCTTGATATAATGCTCAGAACAGTCCACTACCGTGTTCCATCACACGTCTTGTGGGAGAGTTAACTTGGTTCCTCCCACTTTTTTCAGAGCAGCTGCTGCAAAGTGGTTGTTACGAAAGTATTTTGCAATTTCAACAACATTAGCCTTTATTTCTGGAACACTGAAGTCTTTGGCTAGGAGGTGCATCAAATGAGCACTGCAACCGTATGCTATTAGCTTGGGACTCTCTTCACTTTTCTACATTTCTTCTCATCTTGGATACATTTGCAGCATTGTCTGTGACCAAGCTGCATACTAGACATTTGAATTTTTTCCCCCAGTTTGTTATAGCTTTTCTTGTAATAATTCTGCTGTGTGTGAACATTTCCTGATGTCTCAGTTGTTTCTGTAAGGAAGACATTCCCTTCTTCTGTTGTCACACAAGCACATACAACAAGGTCATTGTGGACATTGCTCCACCCATCAAGACTCAGGTTAACAATTCACCCTCTAGACCTTTTGCACACTGTTCAATTTCTCTTTCATACACTTTAGCCAGCAATTTGCCGGCAACATCTGTTCTGTTGGGTGGACTGTATCCTGGTCTTAGTGACTGAACCATGTTAATGAAGTGTGGGTTCTCAGTCATACAGAAAGGAGAGTTTGTTGCATAAATAAACCGGGCAATTTTCCCATCAATTACCTTTCTTTGTAATCTGCTAGTTCTTATCACAAATTTATCTGTAATTGTTTCTGGATGATGGAGATTTTTTTTTTCTTTTTGCTACGGGTGATATGCTGTGGTTATGTGACATACATGATGTGACTGAAACACTATCATTGTCAGATAACTCTGAAACTGTAGAAAATGATGGTGATCTTGAAGGTGGATAGTCTTCAGAATTCTGTATGTTGAGGGGTGGCTTCTAAACAAAATAAGTCAATACAGTTATTTTATTATTACTATACTGCTTATTTAGTATTACTCATTGCATTCACTGACACTCAATACTACTTTAAAGGTGGAATTGTAAAAGGAAGATCTGCCTATTTCAGCTATTTATTTTTTAATCACAACTGTATCTAAAATGATAGTACCATAGAGTAACCACTTTATTTTTTGCTCAAACATGAGAATTCAAGTATAGTCCAGAAGGAAGACAGGCAGTCCTTAAGAAAGAAGTATGAAATAAAAAAGTTGACCAACCTGAAGATCCTGCTTGTTCAGACATGTTCCTTTCATCATCTTCAACGCAGCTTCTTCCTGAGAAGGAACACTTCTTGCATTTCTTTTTTGCACTGTTTGCCTTTTGCACTCATGCTTGTCTTACCCACAGGTAGAGGAACTTCATTAAAATATCCCTAAACTGCGTCTTTTTTATGGCCTTCTGCTATTATAGGTTTTCCCTTCTAGTGAGATAATGGTATGGTAGATCTCAAATCAATGAAGGCTACGCTCATAAAGACCTCAAGACTTCTGGAATATGCTGCTCAAACTGTTTCACTTTTGTTTCTACTGCCTGTCTCTCCCTTCTCACATTTCTCTCCAGATCTATTCCAGCCCCAACAATCTTCTATTCATTGAACTTTTTGAAACTTTGCACTTTTAGAGAGAGGTAAGGGATTGACTTTGTGCACACAAATTTGCAGAGGGACAATACGGTTGAGGTTTGTTATTTCTCTCTTCTATATATTTAAAAACATTTTTGCTGTTAACAAGCATGTTATCTCTGGAGACACAAATCTACAGTTTGAGAACTGCAAAACTAAACATCTCTGATGGTATCTTCTAGAGTGAGCACTGAGTCCCATTGGGTAGATGTATAGATTATTTAGGTTAACCTTCCCAGAAGCCCCTGGACCCCCATAAGATTGGGTCCCTAATCCATGAACTATTGGCACTCATTTACAAAACTTTTCTTAAACATTACTTGAATATATTGTCTCATATTATAGAACTAGAATTTATAATCCCTATTCCATGATGAGATATCTTTGAGTTATAATGTATCTTAATTAAAACTATCTTTAGATAAAAGAAAAGGAGAACTTGTGGCACCTTAGAAGTGAGCTGTAGCTCATGAAAGCTTATGCTCAAATAAATTGGTTAGTCTCTAAGGTGCCACAAGTACTCCTTTTCTTTTTGCGGATACAGACTAACATGGCTGCTACCCTGAAGCCTATCTTTAGATAGGTTTTTTCCCTCAAAAAAAGCATTTTATCAAAAAAAAAATCTGATTTTTGATTTTTTTTTTTAAAGTCATTGATTTTTATCCCCCTATTCTGCTGTCTATAATCTGGCATTCATTCTTGGACCCTATGGTAGGTTTTATGCAAAGATAGGATGGGAATAGTGGAGAAGGAGAGAGATATTCAGTTCCCAATTCCCCCTCCCTCCCTCCCCCCCGGTCATACTCTGCAGTGGTGGTGTAGCTTAAGGTACGTGTGTACACGTGAACACTATGGATGTACAAGACTCTATACAACTACATAGGTTCTAGGCTGCAATTGCTTGACCCTCAACTCTTCCATTTCCACTGTTTCCCCATCACATTTGGCTATAATCAGGGCCCTACCAAATTCAGAGCAATGAAAAACTCATCACGGAGCGTGAAATCTGGTCTTTTGTGTGCTTTTAACCTATACTATACAGATATCACAGGGGAGACCAGCATTTCTCAAATGCGGGGGGGGGGGGGAGGCAGGCTGACAAAAAGGGGGGGTCAGAAGGCTATGGGGGGGGTCTTGGTATTGCCACCCTTACTTCTGTACTGTAGGGGATTGCCAACTTTACTTCTGCGCTGCTGCTGGCAGGGTGCTGCCTTCAGAGCTGGGTGCCTGGCTAACAGCTGTCAGTCTCCCACCAGCAGCAGCGCAGAAGGGTAGTAGTACCACAACCCCGCCTAATCTTGTCTCCCCCCCCCCATTCCTTTTTGGATCAGGACCCCAACAATTATAGCACTGTGAAATTTCACATTTAAAGTCCCATGACCGTGAAATTGACTAAAATGGACCATGAATTTGGTAGGGCCCTACCTATAATCACTTCTGCATTGGTGATAAGTTGTCAAAATCCATAGCATTCATTTTTTATTAGATGATGTTACACCATTTCTGTTGTAAAACAAGCATTTTTAAACTACACTTTATTTCCAAGATGGCATAAATAGATTTCAACTAATGCTTTAAAAAACAAACTAAAACCTCCTCTTATACTCTAACTAGGTACTGTATTGTGACCTCAGACTTTTGAAAAGATCAGTCAGATCCTTAAATCTGAGTGGCGCCCCATTGAATATATTGATGGTTCTCCTTGCTAGGGTCTCTAGTATGTTCTTCAGACAGCTTTGTGAATGTTATGCATGTTAGAATACCTAGATAATTTCTATTTTAAATAATGTATGTGTCAGATTTTTTTTTTCAGTTCTAGAGGACTTTTATAAAGGATTTTACATATATTTTAAACTTTATAGAGTGGCGTTACTGAAGATGGATGGAATTGTATTACTTGTCCTAAAGGCTTAACTACAGAAGGAAAATGTAAATGCGCCATTAATGAAATTTTAGGTAAGAAATCTATACACAATATGAAATGCTGATGATTTTAAACATCTGACTTTATCAAAACAGCATTGTATTACTAACAAATTAATAAAAAACAGCAAGCCAAAGTTATCAAAGTATTGCTGTTTACAATTCTAATGTGTGTTTAAAAAAAAATATTCATCTTGTTTTTTTAAACCCATGTCCCCCAAAAAACCATAAACCCATAGCAGACAAAACTGTGTCCTCTAGCCATTATTCCTTTCATTTGAAAGTTGCAAATAAAACTAAAGACTGATTATTCTTATTGGACCCCTTCTGCCTACCCCGGGCAGGTAGCAGTTCTGACTGAAGTGGAAAAAATGCAATAATAACAGCAAGTTTATCAAAATGTACTAGTTAAAAACAAAGATAATGAGTTTACAGCCATGTAATACAGAAATTACTCATCCTGCGCAAGGAACAGCAGGATAGTCTGGATAAACAGACTACCCTGGATTAAGGATAGTTTGTCTCATGCTGCTTCTGAGACATGTGGTCCAGTGCTGCAGCCCTTAGTTATGTGAATGGTTTCTGACTTTAAAAATATGGGTTGCAGGATTGAGCCCGTAGCCGGTCAGTGTCCACCCCAAGAAGATTCACTGATGCATATGAAAGGACACAGTAAATACACTTCAGTGTTCATTTATGTCAAATACACATTTATGTTGTTCCTACAACACTTCTTTATAGATAAAAAGGCAAGCGTAGAATTATCTTGGTTTTTTTTTGTTTTGTTTTTTTTGTAGACCTGCTTGAAGCATAAAAGGCTTTTGTCAACTTGGTGTATTTAAGATCTTACTCATTGCTGCAAAGTGGCACAGTTCTGAAAAACTCTTTTTAACAGGAATTATTGCAACTGAATCATATGTCTCCTATTTCAAACCCTTTTGGATGTAGAGAAACCTGATTATTATTATCTTGCATTGCTCCTATTTTCAGTGTAAGACACAATGTCATCCACACCTCATAGCTTGTTTTCTGGCTACGTACCAGGCTCAGGAACTTGCTGTAGAAATGTTTAGTATTGGTTATCCAAAACAGTTAGATTTTTTTAAACAGAAACCAGATGTCTTTGTACTAGGTTCATTCTTCTGATCACTAAGTCTTAAAAAGGTGGCCTTGAGGGTGGCTTTAAGATACACTGAACTGTCATTTAATGTTAAACTGTGTTCTTTTTCTAAGAACCAGAAAACAGTTTTAGCTGAAACATCTCCCTTTAAGCATCATGAGGGTTACAAAATACATTTCTTATCCCCCATAGAAAATAGTCTAAAAACTAAAAGTAAAAAATATGGAAAAACTTAAACAACCCCAAAGAACTTTGGGGGGAAAAAAATCTTGCATTTGCGATATGTTCACATGTGCATCATCTTTGCACAGCATCTGTAATTTAGTTTTTGAATACTATTAATCTGTAGTTTTCTTAGTTGCCTTAGAAAGCTTAAATTTCGAAATTTAAGCTTTCTATCTTGTCCCATAAAAATCGGTGATTAAATTACTGCTGTTCAAAGAGAATTACTTCCTACTCCAAAATTTTGCAATTTAATTACAAATATCCTGTTCTTTTGAATATAAATTCCTTCTTAACACAAGTGTAGAGAAACTTGTTTCATTTTTGCCCTTGGCTTTTCATTAAAACTACTGGGGTGTGTGTGTGTGTGTGTGTGTGTGTGTGTGTTTACACAGGATACTTTTTGTCAGTTGTGGCCCAGGAGTTTTAGAAAATGCCAACTGATTTTGTATTAATTTCTGAACCAGATTTTTCTAGATATGTTCTTCTAAAGCATTATTTTTGTAAGCAGCTTTATAACCTATGCGGAATACTCTATAGCAGGGTCTCAAACTCCATTTACTTTAGGTCCAGTGCCAGTCCTCAAATCCTCCCAGTAGGCAAATAATGTCACTCATGCCGCCCAGAAACCCGTCTTCCCCCCCCCCCCCCCCAAAAAAACAACAAACCTCTGCCCCCAACCTGCCTAAGGCTCTGGGAGGGAATTTGGGTGAGGGAGGAGGTCTGGGGTAGGGGATTGGGGTGCAGGCTCTGGGAGGGAGTTTGGGTGCAGAAGGGGTGAGAGTTTGGGCTCTGGGAGGGAGTTTGGGTGGCGGGGTCTGGGGTGCAGGCTCTGGGCTGGGGGTGAGGGTGCAGGCTCTGGGAGGGAGTTTGGGGGAGGGGTGGGTGGGAAAGGGATGGGGGTGCAGGCTCTGGGAGGGGATCTGGTGGTGCAGCGCTTATCTGGGGCTCCGAGGTTGGGTGAGCCGGGGGGCCTCCATGCGCTGCTGCCCCCAGGCACTGCCCCTGCAGCTTCCCATTGGCTGTAGGGGTGCTGAGGGCGGGGGCAGCACGTGGAGGCACAGCGCTGCCCCACCCTGGGGCCACAGGGAGGGGCCGGCAGACATGTGGAGCGAGCAGGCAGACCCTGCTCAGCTCTGCTGCGCTGTTGGGGCCCCGGGCCATTTTAAATTACCGGGGGAGGAGCGCCTGGGGGCGGCAGGTGGGGTCAAGGGAGAGACCGGGCCCCAAAAACTGCTGGAGCCCTGTAGGTCACATTGGGGAGGTTTGTGGGCCGCAGATGGCCTACAGGCCCTGAGTTTGAGACCCCTGCTCTATGGCATGTTGTTGCTCACATTTACATTTTTTTCCCCCACTTAGTGGAAAGAGATGTTAATGGCAAGTTGTTGAATGAAGCATTGTGTAGACGCTGTGATGCAAATGAACCATCATTCTCTGCTTCAAATGTCTTAGGAGATAGGTAAGTATTCTTGCTTCTTCTAAATTTATGTATTCAGATCTGCTTTGTATAGATCCTGATGATGTGATTTAAATGGAACACTCCCCAGGAACAAACTATCTGTTGGATAAAATATGAATACTTCTGGTTAATTGGGGCATTCTCTCTTGCATATAGTATAGGTGTCCTTATTGTTTTGTGGCAATCTAAATAGCAGTCAGACAAGATGTTTCAACTCATGTTCAAGTCAGCAGGAGTTGAGGTTGCTAAATATCTTGCAGGGCCAGTATCCTAAATTTGAAACTCCAGTCTTTCTACTGACTTTTGGTAGAGTGGGAACAAACATGTTCTTATATTAATGTGTACTGCTTTATTTGTTGCTAATTGAATAATAGTGGAAATGAACTGGTAACGTTAACTTTTGTCCCGCTCCCATTGAAAACCACGGAAAGCTTCCCACTGACTTCATTGGAATGAGTCTCAGGCCTCTAGTAAACATTGTGCTGTGAACACAGAAAGGAAAAAACAAAAAAAAAGACTGTATACTTGAGCTAAAATGTGATCCGAGGACTTAATTTGAAGTTTTGAACATAAGAATAGCCATACTGGATTAGACCAATTGTCCATCTAGCCCAGTATCCTGTTTTCCAATAGTGACAAGTGCCAGATGCTTCAGAGGGAATGAAGAGAATAGGACAATTGTTGAGTGAGCCATTCTGTCATTTACTCTGAGCTTCTAGCAGTCCCAGATTTCGGAACAAACAGGGCATGGGGTTGTGTCCCTGACCATCTTGGCTAATAACAATTGATGGACCTGCAGTGCTGTAGCCGCGTTGGTCCCAGGATATTAGAGACACATGGTGGGTGAGGTAATATCTTCGGTTGGATCAACTTCTATTGGTGAGAGAGGAGCTTTCAAGCTTACACAGAGCTGAAGGAGAGCTCTGTGTAAGCATTCAAACTTACACATTCTCACCAATAGAAGTTGGTCTCTCTTCTAGGGTGAACAGCCCTAGTCTTTTTAATCTTTCCTCATATGCAATCTGTTCCATACCCCCACCCATTTTTGTTGCCCTTCTCTGTACCTTTTCCAATATATCTTTTTTTGTGATGGGTGACCAAATCCACATGCAGTATTCAAGATGTGGGCGTACCAAGAATTTATATAATGGCATTATATTTTCTGTCTTCTTATCTATCCCTTTCCTAATGGTTCCTAACATTGTTAGCTTTTTTTTTTTTTGCCTGCCACTGCACACTGAGTGGATGTTTTCAGAGAACTATTTACAACTGCCTGCAAGATCTTTCTTGAGTGGTAACTGCTAATTTAGAGCCCATCCATTTTCTGTGTATAGTTAAGATTTTTTTTTCTAGTGTGCATTACCTGGCACTTATCAACACTGAATTTCATGAGGCATTTTGTTGCCCAGTCACCCAGTTTTGTGAGACCCCTTTGGATTTCTTCATGATTGGCTTTGAACTAAACCACTTCTTCAGACTGTGGGTTGTGACCCAGTACTGGGTAACAGCATGTAAGGCACTGGCTCGCATTGCTCTGGTCAGTACTGCCAACGAGGACATTAAAAGTCCTGTTGGCGATGCTGCCCAGCTAAGGCAGGCTAGTGCCTGCCTTTTCCGATACCACGCTGCTGGCCACTTCCGGGGCGCAGTAGGTCTGGCTTCTAGGCAGAGGAGCCACGGGGCTTGGCCAATGGGAGCTGTGGGGGGCGACAAAGCCGCTTGCGCACCTCCGCCCAGGAGCAGGGCCGGCTCTAGGTACCAGCAAAACAAGCAGGTGCTAGGGGCAGCACATGTCTAGGGGTGGCATTCTGGTGGCATTCTGGGGCCGGCCATGCCGCCCCTAGAAATGTGCCTCCGCCCACTCCCGTGAGTGCGCCGCTGCCGTTTCGCGCGACAAGCCTGGGAGGGAGAAGTCGAGCAGCGGTGCACTCGGGGGAGGTGGCGTTGGTGGAGCGGAGGTGAGCTGGGAGGGAGCGGTTCCTCTACCACCCCCCCCCATTACTTCCTGTGCTCCCCCCCCGCTCACCTCCACTCCGCCCGCTCCCCTGAATGCGCTGCCTCTTCCTCACCTGAGAGGGAGGGGGGAGAAGCGGAGCAGCGGCGTGTTCAGGGGAGTAGGCAGAGCAGAGGTGAACTAGGGCAGGGGGTTGCTGGGTGGGGAGCCGCAGGAAGCAAGAGGGCGAGAAATGCAGCACGCCTGGGGGAGGAGGCGGGGCTGGGGATTTGGGGAAGGGCATGAGAAGGGGCGGAGTTGGGGGGGGACACGAAAAAATGGGGGCGGACAAGAATTTTTTTGCTTGGGGCGGCAAAAATCCTAGAGCCAGCTCTGCCTAGGAGCCAGACCTGTTGCTGGCAAGAAGAAAAGGTGGTAGGCTATATGTCACAACTTCATTTGTAAATGAGGCGGATGTCTAGTGCAGGTACTCCATATGGAAGGCATCCAGTGATCAGATAAATGGCCTGGTAAAGGTGCTGGATAAAGGAATAGAATGGGGGAAGGGGAACTCCTATTATTAGTATGGCAGGGAGCCAACGCACGCCCACCCCTGCCCCCCCACAAGGGGGGGTGGATGGTAAGGTCCAAGCCATGGGTTGGCTGGGGACCTGGATGGAAAATGAAGAGGGGCTGGTGGAAGCCCTGGGTAATGATTTGAAGAAGCATGAATTTGCCTGCACTGTACACTTTATCTGCCAGGTAGTCCAAGACATCTATATAATAAGTTGTAGCCTGATTAAAATCCATATCAAGTGTCTCCTGTCCTTCTTTCGGTATACCCAGATAACTCTGTGTTTACCCCTTTTTCCAGATCATTTATGAATGTTAAACAGCACTGGTCCCAATACAGATCCCTGCTATTTTCCATTATGAAATCTGACCATTTATTGCTACCCTTTGTTTCCTACTTTAACCAGTTACTGATCCATGAGAGGGCCTTCTCTCTTATCCCATGTCTGCTTACTTTGCTTAAGAGCCTTTGGTGAGGAACCTGGTCAAAGGCTTTCTGAAAGTCCAAGTACACTATATGCACTGGATCACTCTTGTCCATATGCTTGTTGACCCCCTGAAAGAATTCTAGTAGATTAGTGAGGAATGATTTCCCTTTACAAAAGCTGTGCTGATTCTTCCCCAACATCATGTTGATCTCTTGTGGTTCTTGCTACACGTTACACTCTCCGTAACTGAACAAACTTGTTCTAATCTAAAGTTTGAAGAGAATACCTTGCTTAACATTATAAAGTCTTAGGGTTAACCTTCTTTTAAGTGATTTCTTCATGTTTATATATTCGTGTGTGATTTATAGGTGTATAAGATGTGAACAAACATTCATCAATATAAGCAAGTCTTGTGACTGTTCGGAGCCAAATATTTTGGTAAGTGAAACAAACAGCTTATATCAAAGTGTAAAGGAAAAAAGTTATGTTGTAAAGTGTCTTACGCATATATATTTTTAACTGGAATTTTCTTAATTTTATCTTTTCAGACAGGAGGGTTATGCTTTAGTAACAGCAGAAATTTCCCCTCAAAGCCAGTTGCAACTGTACGTTATGGACAGCTAGTAAGTGTTTTTGTTCTTAACGTTATCAAGCTTCATGTTATATATTCTGATTAGTTTTTTTATGCTGAAATGTTTTAAAATAAAAAACATTTTGTTATCCAATTTAATTTTAATGGAACATTTTCTCATGCCTGATATTTGTTTTTCATCTACTTACGTATCTTGCAAAGTCACTTTTTAATTCTCTATGGTCTACCCCAATCTGCTGCACATACAGTCGTCTCTCAGTAAGATGGTTTATGTGAGGAAGTATTTATCTATGGTCAATTGATTTAATTAGGGCCTGAAAATCTAGAGGTCAGGGTAATAGTCCTGATTCTGGGAATAACTTGCTGTGTGACCTTGGACAAGTCATCTCAATTTTCGATGGCTCCATTTCTCTGTGTTTAAAAAAAAAAAAAAAAACACCACCCTCACACTTGCTTACCTTTTGAAAAGTACTTTGAGATCCTGAGATATAAAGCACTATATAAATGAAAGATAGTTATCCAGAATTACTCAGTAGTGAGTGTCAGAGAGGGGCTTCCTGGCTGACTTTTAGCACCCCTTAACTTACAGAGGAAGAAAAGATCTTAAGTTTTAGTGATCGTTATAATGACCAACAAAAACCACTTTGGCTGGTGCTGGTTGGACGTCAGCCCACTGATGAGAGAGTGCTAGAGACAACAGGTCTATGCAGACTCGATAACAAAACAAGTCTGAGTAAAACTGCATTGGGTGTTTGATCTCTCTCCAGTAGCCTTTAAAAGTGTATGTTTGTGTGAACGCAAAATGGATTTCAGCCTGAAGCGAACATAAGAATAGCCATACTGGGTCAGACCAATGGTCCATCAAGGCCAGTATCCTGTCTTCCGACACTGGTCAGTACCAGTATTTCAGAGGGCAATTGTCGAGTAATCCATCCTTTCATCCATTCCCAGCTCCTAGCCATCACTGGTTTAGAGACACACAGACCATGGAGTTTTATCCTGACTATCTTAGCTAATAGCCGTTGATGGACCTGTCCTCCATGAACTTATCTAATTCTTTTTTTGAACCCAAGTTATACTTTTGGCCTTCACAACATCCTCTGGCAAAGAGTTCCACAAGATTGACTGTGCATTGTGTGCAGTACTTCCTTATGTTTGTTATGTTAATTCTTGTGTTATATGAAGGGGTAAATAACACTTCCCTATTCACTTTCTCCACACCAGTCATGATTTTATAGACCTCTTGTTGTATCCCTCCCCCCTTTAGTAGTCTATTTTCTAAGCTGAACAGTCCCAATTTTTTTAAACTCTCCTCATGTAGATGCTGTTCCATATCCCTAATTTTGTTGCCCTTCTCTGTACCTTTTCCAATTCTAATACATCTTTTTTTGAGATGGGGGACCAGATATGCACACAGTATTAAAGGTATGAATGGACCATGGATTTATATTTTTCTATCCCTTTCTTAATGGTTGCTAATATTGTTAGTTTTTTGGACTGCCACTGCACACTGAGCAGGTGTTTTCAGAGAACTATCCACAATGAATCCAAGATCTCTTGCTAATTTAGACCCCATCACTTTGTATGTACGGTTGAGATGTTTTCCAATGTACATCATTTTGCATTTATCAACATAAACGTTTCATTGCCATGTTGTTGCCGCCCAGTCGCCCAGTTTTGTGAGATCCCTTTGTAATTCTTTGCAGTCAACTTTGGACTTAACTGTCTTTGAGTAATTTTGTATGGTCTTCAAGCTTTGCCTACCCCCTTTTTTCAGATAATTTATGAATATCCTGAACAGTATTTGTCCCAGTACAGATCCTTGGGGGACCCTGCTATTTACCTATTGCCACTGTGAAAACAAACCATTTATTTGTATCCTTGTTTTAATCAGATCCATGAGAGGACCTTCTTTCATCCCATGATTGCTTACTTTGCTTAAGAGCCGTTGGTGAGGAACCTTGTCAAAGGCTTTCTGAAAGTCCAAATACACTATATCTGCTGGATCACTCATGTCCATAGAATTATTTGAGGGTGTCAGCAAGTATAACAGATTAGTGAGGTATAATTTCCCTTCACAAAAACCACATTGACTCTACCCCAAAAAGGGTACATCTCATCCTAGCTCTCCTTTTAAGGTTTTTTAGGCTGGTTATCAACATCACCATGTAGACCTGGGCAGAATTGGTTCAAGGCATCTGCAAGATTGATTATCGCATCATGAGGATAAAGTCTGTCACTTTTTACCCTTTCTGTGGCCCTGCACCCAATATGTAGCTTCTGCCTGTGGGAAGATGTGAGCTAATTCATGTACAATTACACTAAACAGCTGATAGCCACTCCACCCCCAAACTGTTGAGGGTTAGCCCAGTTTACTTTAGGTTGGGGGAAGATATATATGATAAGATCTATTTGCAAGATTATTGCAAATGCCATTAGAACTATGCAAGTTAAATACTGTATTGCTCAGTGGGAAACAGTCTTCAAAAAAGCTATTATTAGTGTCAAGTTGCATTCAAGATTGAAATGGGTTGCTGCCTGTGTTGAAACTGTACCAACTTTCTGTTTAATATGGTAAAAATGTGTCAGCTGTGGATTCATACTAATAGTTGAAGGTATATTTTAAAATCACTTCAAGTAATCACCACACTAACCTTTTCATTCTGTGGGTCTGGCCTGGTAATTCAAGGGGATAAGAAGTGTGTGCCAAAGTTCAGGACTTGGCCACCTAGGTGCTGCAAACACAAACTGAGGTAGCATGTTTAACTTTCATTTTCTCCAGCTCCTCCTTATCCCTACTGAACTCATGTGATATCCTTGCTAGATTCTTCTGTTGACGGAAGGTTGCTACAACACAAGTGTTCCAAAGGAGTGATGCAGTAAAATGGTAGTTTGGGTTATAAGAAGAGCTTGGAGACACCATCTGGGGAACACTTATTCTCACTCGTCCAGAAATCAGTAAAATAAAGCTATAATTAAAAAGAAAGGACCAGGCTTCAAAACTGTGTTCACTTTCTTCTCTTATAAACCACAGCGATTATGTAATTCAGTTGCCTTCTTTCTACATCAGTCTTTATCCTTTTCTAGATTGTGTACACTGAGAGAGATGAATTCTTGTCTAAATTATGGTCTGTGGGCAAATGTAAGCATTTAAGCCTCTATCCTTCCCTGAATCCACAGTGGATCTCCCACTGATATAAGTTGAAAGTTTTGCACAAAGATCCAGAGTAGAATATACTTTCCTGTAGTAACTAAAAATTTAGTTACCACTATTTGTTCAGGTTTCAGAGTAGCAGCCGTGTTAGTCTGTCTTTGCAAAAAGAAAAGGAGTACTTGTGGCACCTTAAAGAGTAACCAATTTATTTGAGCATAAGCTTTCATGAGCTACAGCTTATGCTTATGCTCAAATAAATCGGTTAGTCTCTAAGGTGCCACAAGTACTCCTTTTCTTTTTACTATTTGTTCAGTACTTTATTTAGCATCATTCAGTGAGAAAATTTAAGACTAACATTATCCTATCTTCCTGTCCCCATTTGTTTCTCTCCATCTTCTGTCTTTGTGCATCTCCTCTGTCCTTCCCTCCTTATTTCTTTCATGTAGTAATGTGTAATTCTCCTTTCCATGTGCTTAACTCCTGACTAGAGCTGAATGAATAATTTATTGTTTTTGTTTAGCAGTTTAACTGAAACTGAAAATTTTACTTGTTGAACAAAATGTTTAGAATGTTGATTCAAAACAAAATATCAAACCAAAAATGTTGATTCAAAATAAAACGTCAAAATGGTTCATTTACATTTCTGAAATTGTTCTCAGCTTTTCACCTGAAACTAGTGTCGAATTAAACCTGATTTCACAAACAGTTTTGATACCCCAAAAGTTACATTTTTAGCAAATTTGATTTGCTAAAAAAAATTAAATTGCCTATGTATTCTCCTAACCCTTCCTCAGTCCATCGGCAACTGTGTAGTTAATGTTTACTTAATTCTCATCATTGGTCTTTAGCATTAAGGCTTCAGTAAAATAAACGAGCAGAGGGGGAGTTCATACCTCTCAATGCTGTTTTTTTTCAGGCTGTCTGCAGGCTCAATGACAGCTCTATATTTATTTACACTCAGTTCATGCTGGAAGATTTTCTTGCAGCCATGAGGGTAGAAACTTAAACATAAAAAATATAAAATGAAAAGCTAGAGTGTGAAAACGGAATGAGTCATGAAAGCCACATAAATATATCAGGGTGACCACATATTGACTGATATAAATGTTATCAAGGTAAACTTCAGGGATTATCAGCCGCTAGTCAGCTTGTCAAAAGGTGCTGTGAAATCTACAGATATTCTATAAATTGCTGTATGATTACCAACATTATAAGCATATTAAAAACTGAAAATGTGGAGATAGCCTAAGTATATATAAGAATAAATGTGTACTGTAATAATTGTAATATTTATATTAAAATCTTGAATTTTTTTTTCAATTTAAATGAGGCTCCTGCAGAATTTCTAAGCCACCAGAGCGCCACAGAAACCAGAGACCTTCCAAAGAGTTTATAGCCAATTTGCTGCAGAGTTCATGGGAAACCTTGGACTTCTAATAACCTACTAAACAGTAGACCAAGAAGACTAGCTGACGAGGTCTAGAAGGTCAAAGGACACTTACTATGTCCATCATCAGTCTAGAAGTGTGACTAAAGGGAAATGAGCACAAATAAGATTTGAAGTTTTCTGCAAAAATGCTGGATATGCACACAAAGATGTGGTTAATGATGGAAGAAAAATCTTTTCTGTGCATGATAATATATGGTTCCTCAAAATGCCAAAGCAAGTGAATGTATATTATTGGTGGAAACCTGCTCAAATTTTAGCTGTTTGAAAAAGCAGCAGTAGGATCCAGACTTGAAATTAAGGATTGCTGCCACTTGGTTGACTTAGTTTTTCCATAGATTAAAGCAGCGGTGTCAATAGAGAGGTTTTGGAACAAATTGATAGATTAAATAGTTAGAAGTCAACAGGACCAGATAGTATTGACCCAAGA